AGCATCCAGCACTCCAAAAGTTCTCTCGTGCCCCTTCCTGGTCCCAGCCCTCTGCCCTCAGGATTACCCATTATCTGACCTTACATAACCACCAATTACCTTTTCCTGCTTTCATACTTTGTATGACTGGGGTAGGTAGTATGTACTTCTTTGTGGCCAGCTTCCTCAGTGTTCCATTGTAAGAGTCATCCATGCTGCTGGATATACCATGAGTTCCTTTTCATCACTGTAGTATTTTATTGAATGACTATACCACAGTTTATTCTTTTCACTACTAATGAACATTTTTGTTTTTAGGTTTGGGGTATTATAAATAATATTATCATGACATTCTTTTACATGTCTTTCAATGTCCTAAATATATGCATTTGTTGTATATAAAGTGTCTGTTTTTGTCATGCATAAACCTAGGAGTAGGAAGTTATAGGGTATATATTTAATAGTTGTTTTCTCAGTTTATTTTTGAAAATATGAAACCTACAAAATGGCAAGAATACTAAAATAAAAATAATAACATTTCTGGATTCATCAATTAGATTTTTGCTGATTTGCTTTATGTTTCTGTATACCTTTTTTTAAAAAGTGAATCATCTGAGAGTTGGTTATAAACATCATGATAGTTTATCCCTAAGTGCATCTCCTAAGAACTAGGACATTTTTCAGCTTAACCACAATGCAGTTACCGTACTCAAAAAGTTTAATGTTGGTGAAATAGTATTATCTAATATATGGTTCATTTTAAATACTTTAATTGTTCTAGTAATGTCCTTCATGACTTTTTTAAAAAATGAAGATGGACATAGGTTCAATCCAGGATCATGCGTTGTACTTATTTTCATGTCTTTTTAGAGTCTGTTCATCTAGAAGAGTTCCCTAGCCTGTTCTGTCTTTCATTACACAGATATTTTTGAAGAGCTCAAGTCATTTGCTTTGTACCAAGTCCCTCAATTTAGACTGGTCTGAGTGTTCCTCATGATTAGCTTTAGGGTAAGCCTTGTTGGTAGGAGGACTACAGTTCCTTTTAGTTAAGAAAAGTAGTTTCTGGATTGACACTTTGAAACTGTAAAAATCCAATGCCCTAATATACATACATATGTGTATGTATAAATAATTTAGTGTATTTATTTATTGAGGTGAAATTCATGTAACACAAAAATAAAGTGAACAATTCAGTGTATTCACAAATATTGTACAATTACCACCCCACCACTATCAAGTTTTAAAACATTTCATCTGCTCTCCATTCTTCTGCAGCTCCTGGCAACCTCCAATCTCCATTCTGTCTCTGTGGATTTACCTATTCTGAATGTTTTATATGTGGAAATATACAGTATGCGACCTTTTATGTCCAGCTTCTCTCATGCAGCATAATATTTTCAAGGTTCACCCATGTTGTAGCATGTATCAGAACTTCATCTCTTTTTATGGCTGAATAATATTCTGTTGTATGGATATAACACATTTTGTGTATCCATTCATCTGTTGATGGATATTTGAGCAGTTTCTACTTTTTAACTATTGTAAATGACCCAGTGGGGTTTTTTTGTTTTTGTTTTTACTGCATGGTTTAATGTATCTTACCTAAATCAGTTATTTCTATCATTATAAAATGAAGATTTTTGTATTTTTGTCCTTCCTACTATATGTATTAGATGGAATTCTCTTGTGAAGAAGACTAAACATAAGTGTGTGTATTTGTATGGTCTTAGTTTCAGCATGGATTTATGGACTTTTTTCATTTGGTGTATCATACATAATCCATTCTTATTATTCATTTTTATACTCAGGTTGTGCCAGAATCACCTAGCGGATTCCCATTCCTTCTTATGCCCCCATCATTGTTGAAGTCAGTGGCCTATAGGAGGTGTCCACTGATACTTATTCTTGTTTAGGAAGCACCAAATAATTCAAGAATTGTCCGTGTGTGGAGTATGTGGCAAGTCTGGTGTTTATGGATAACAGATTTGTGAGATTTGTGTGCTTGAGACCACATGTCATGGGGGCCCCAGTTTATTGAATATGGGCTTTATTTAATGAAAAAGATTTAGTTGAATGGTGACTATGAGTACGGGTATTTATTTATATTTGAGGCTTTCTTTCCCTGACCTGGGAGTATCAGGACATGATCAATTTCAGCATTTCTAGTTGTAGCTGACCTGCCTCTGTTTAATTTCTGTAGTTCCTTTTTATGCAGCTAAAATTCTTGAAGTACTTTTTCTTTAGATGTATTTTTCTTTCATGAAGTTCTGCAAAAGAACAGATGATATGGTTTTATATTTAAAATTCAGGGCTTAATTTGGGTCTATTTTTAAAACAATTTGTGTGTGTGTTTTCAGGGAAAATAATGATAAGTGTTAAAATTATATATGTATACTGCTAAGAATCATGATGAGTTTATATTTTCAAGGTAATGCTAGCTTGGAATATTTCTGTTTTATATATATATGGGAGGTGATTGGGTTTATTTGTTTATTGAGCTTATAGAGGAAATTTTTAAATTTTTTTATATTTTAGGCAAGACAACCCTTGGTTGATCTCACAGATTGCAAGGACCTTGTCAGCTTACAATCCCTTATTTTTTTTATTTTATTTTATTTTTTAGGCCTACAGCACTTGGTCTTCCTAGGTGGTCTCCCATCCAAATACTAACCAGGCCCGACCCTGCTTAGCTTCCGAGATCAGACGGGATTGGGTTTGTTAAGGGTGGCATGGCCGCACACGGAAATTTTTTTAATCATGGTTAAAAATAGTGATAAAGATAAAATAGTGATAAAAATAAAAATTAAAAATTTTTAACAGCGAAGTGATGAAAATAATGAACGCCTTAATCTTTCCTTTTCTTTACATCCATAGTTTTGTGAACAGTAAATCGGTTCTAGCTTGTGGTTGTAACTAAGAATCTTCAGGATTTTGTTTCTAATAGATTTTGTAACTAAAGGAATGAAAATTTCCCTGATACTTGGAAACATCATTTTTTATACATCAAATATAACAGTATCTGTAATTTTTAAATTTCCCCAGTATTAATGAAAGCAATTATAGTTAATTCTTTTGATGTGTCATTGGAAGAATAAATAGATGATACAACTACTACTTATATTACTACAACATTTTAGAAATTCTTTAAGTCTCAGCCTCCTGTGGCATTGCATAGAGCCGTGTTCTCACCTGGGAGGAGGGAGCCACTGTGATCTAGTGGGTAGAGGACAGAGATGCTGCTAAATACCCTACAGTGCACAGCCCCCTTCCCCACCCCACCCAAAGAATTACCAGGCTCCCAATATCCATTGTGATGCCATTGAGAAGTCCCGTTGGGGCTAAACTTCGTGGGGTTCACAGAGATAACCTGTTCAGATTATTCAAAAAAGTAAATAACTACCATTTAATGATCAGATTTGAATTCGTGTTTCCAGAGATAAAGTTGTACATGATGTTGAAAGATGATCGACCCTGGGCATACTGAGATCCTTGTAAGGCTGTGGTTCTAGAACAAGAGCATCAGAATCATCTGTAGGGATTATTAAACCCTCAGTTGCTAGAGAGGATTTGCACTTCTCACAAACTCCAGTTTAGGCATGCACTCTGAGAACCTGATGGAACATCTAATTGGTATACTATGTGTACACAGTTCTAGTTTTGTCTAGTTTGTCTTCTGACCTAGTGTGTCAGCTCAGGGCTTCCTCTTTTTTAAGGAGTGGACCTCCACACACTCTCCCCACCTAACTCCTCTCCTCCATTTCGGCTGTTGGCCTCAGAAGTTATTGTCTCTGTGCAGCTTCTCTTAGGACAGTTTACGGTGCTTTGTGTTTTATGTAAATACAGGTTTGAGACAAATCCCCAGGCCCTGCCCTGCATTATAGGTGAATGCTCTGCCTGTCACTTGCCTTGATCTTGTGTGTGCAGAGTGAAGCTTAGAAAGGCCAGCCTCTAAACTGAGTGTGAAAGTGTGGGCCTTAGGGATTAGGCAGATCCTAGTCCACATTCTAGCTGTGTCCTTTCTGACTGGTATGGTCATAAGCATGTACATTAAAGTAAGTTTCTTCATATGTCAGAGGGGTTTAAAATCTTCCTCATAGGATGGTTGTAAGGACAAATAGGCTAAATTGTCCGAAAGCCCCCTGCACCAGGGTCTAGCAGGCATTCAGTAGGTAGTATATAATGTTTGTGTTGCTGGCTAATGTTTTCAGAGGCCCTTTCAATTTTAACCTTCCGTTCCACATAACCTATTTAACCTATCTTCATCTTCCTCTCCCCACCCCAGTTAAAACAGAAGTGAATTACTTGCTATGGGTAGTATCTCATAGGTTAGTTCATTCTGATAATCAGCAGTTAAAATATAGTTATATAGATTTATAGTTAAAATAAGTATGATTGTCATACTGTGCTAGAAAACAGGCTTTCTTGGGTGGTGTGGGTATATGAGAATTGTTCACCTTTGTGCTTGTGATTGCTGTGATTAAAATTTCAGGTTTCTGTGATCTAGATCTTGGCAATATAAACTGTTCATTCTTCTGTTTCTATATTTTGCTCTGATTCATATCTCTCTGTTTATTTGTTTATTACTTCTAAATTTGCTGTGGTTGAGGAATCTGGATTATCAAATTTAAAATTATATCCAAATTCAGGGCGAGTAGGTTGTGAGTTACTGGTCTGGAATGGGGATGGGAGCTGGGGTTTGGGGTACTTGTCAGGATGTGGAGAGAACAGAATGCAGACTTTGCTCCTAAAACTGTATGTGGTGAACATCCAAGTAGCTCATGAGTTTTAGTAATTGAGGTTACATAGATCTAGTGTTGAGCTAAATGAGCTAAGTACCTTTTGGGGCAATTGAAAGGATTAATAGAGTGATCTTTTTGCATACTAAGATTTTGAGAGGTAATTCCCTGCTTTCCTTCTGTCTCATAGCTATGCCCCTTGTGGATGGATCACTTTGATGAATTTTCTCTCAGAACTCCTGTCATAACACATGCTTATTTTTAATTCTCTTTTCTGAATTTCAGGCAAAGTCATGTGTCTGTCATGTTTGTGGTATCCACCTGAACAGGCTTCACTCTTGCCTCCATTGTGTCTTCTTTGGCTGTTTCACAAAGAAACATATTCACGAACATGCGAAGTCGAAACGGCACAACCTGGGTAAGGTACTCTTCTGAGATGTCTCACTGGGCATTGGGAATAGTCATTGCCCTTAACTTTCTGTTCTTGGAATTTAGATTTGCAGTTCTGCCCTTCCAAAAGTTTACTTCCTTTATCTAAAATAATGTGTGCCCTTCTTGTGAAATTCACAGGAGAAATGCGAGATAAACTGAACTCAAATGGATTATTTTACTCACTTTGCCTTATGGTGCTTAAGTTGCTGTTAATATTGTATGTAGCCTTAGTAGTTAAATTCTGGTGGCTTCTGATATTCAGCCAACTTTCTTGAAAAATACTTTTTCTTTAATGGAATATCAGAGCCTCATTTTTCCCTTTGAAAAACATGGTTAGGAATTAGATTAGGCAAAAGTTTACTAAGAAAGATCTTAAATGCAGTATTAATTATTGATTTCAACATGGAGTTGGGTGTACATAGATGCTTTTCATTGTTTTCAGTAATAGATTTCATTGTTCTGAATAATGCAGGTTCATGAAAAGACTGACAACAGTTTGTGTGGCATAAAGATAAGTTTACCTTTTGTATACTTACAAATTAAAATTCATACATTCTGAAAGTTAGCATAAAGCAAAATTCTGCTCTTGGTTTTGTTTTCTGAGCGTGGTCGTTAAATGTTTGTCTCCTTCACAATAAGTGTTTTCTGTTAAATGATAGTTAAGTTGTTAGGATATCTTTATGAAAACTACTTTCAACAGGTACAAGTCAGAGAACCTAGTCTAGAAAATACTTCATGTGGGCCTATCAGTTCCAGTTAAAGACATTTTTAGGCTTTCTTCTGTAGTTGTATAATCTGGTGCTCTCTTGCAAACATTAGCCTAAATATTCCTAATTGAAAATGGTATCCTGCAAGTTTATAAAATCAGTGCATTAATCCATGTCTGTTAAAGCTCTCCATATAAGCAGTATACACAGCAAAAGATAGACACAAGCAGTATGTCTCTTTTTTCCTAATCTTTTTTTTTTTTTTAAAGAAGAAAGATGATTTAAGGGAAAACATTTCTTTTATATGATGTGTTCATGAGCCATTTGTTTTATTACAGATACAGGGAAGCTGTCAACTCAATATCATGTTCTTTGCAATAGCTACAATTATAATGGAAATGTTTCTTTAATTTCTAGGTGACGTGCTATTTCATATTAAAGCATAAAAATTCACACAACAAAGTCTCACTTTGTTTTTTAATTCAAATTTTATGAGGTTTTTTCTTTTTAGGGAGTAGAGATGGAATATGTCTAGTTGGACATATCTTATTTGGAACTGATAACTTGCAGCAAGCATTTGCAAAATGCAGCTTAGAATTTGTGGTTCAGGTTGTGACGATGCGCTAACTGGCTGTTTTAGAAGAAAGCTAATGGTGATGATAGTGCTCATCAGCTGTGGATGAGCAGCCTGCCTATCCCATGGAGGGAAAAAGCAGTGAGTGACCACTTCCTGTGTACTGATCAGTTCAGTGTGGATGTAATAGAATTCTGTGGTATCTGCTTAATGTAGTAATCTTTGCTTTTTAATAATACAAATAAAAAATATTCCCGCCCTATCTGATTCTCAGACCAGGCCAGTTTAGGCTGCTATTACCTATGCAGCCTATCACCTAATCACCTATGCTGTGATTCAGTGTGGTTAAAAGGGTTATGGGAAACTGGAAGAAGATTTGCGTTTAAGAAAGTTGTCTGAAGAATCTTCTTACTCAGCCATCATCCATAAAACTCACTTCAGAAATTTATGGTGTTAATTCATTTTGTCAACCTGATTGATAAACTCTGCCTTTACTTTTGCTAGAATGAGTGAGTTTTAAAAAACAAAGCCATGAAATGGGAGAAAGATCTCTTTACTGAGTCCATGATATTGAAGGTTTCATATGTATGTGTTAACAAAGCTAGAAATTAGTTTTATGTGTCCAGGTGGGAAAGAGGAGAAGAAAGCTGAAGTATAAAACTTAAAACTTCCAGAGAAGAAAATTGGGGATGGGCAGCCCTGATATTACCTTGCAGTGTGTCTCAGTCTTTTCTGACTTGCTAATAGTTTCATCCTCTTCCTGTGAGCTGTTTCTTCCATGCTGCTGTTTCTACCCATTATACTCAGAGCAATTTCATAGACTATTTATACTTTGTCATTTTATGGAGGGTGTTTACAAAATGTTCAAAGGCAATTTAATGGAGCAGCTTAATGTAGGAGGAACAGAGAACCTTGATTTCCTTGTAGCCAAGTTCTTCTATCTCCCAGGGAATATTCAGTACTACAGTATAATGGGCCCTGAAGTGATTATTAGAAAAAATTCTCATTGGGCATCTGATTTTTAACAGGGTAGGTGGGAGGCCTAAGGTGAGTCTTGCCTCAATATTGGGGATGATGCACTTACAAATAGAATGTAAGGAGCAAATGAGGTCATTGTGGAAGGCCTTGTAGAAGGACAGATGGACAAGTATGGTGTGGGACAAGAAGGGTCCTATAGTGATAAGATGAAAAGTTCTATTTCCTTCATCCATCCTGCCCTGTAAAATTGCCCTAATGTGATAAAATACACACATCTGAAAAAATAACTTATTGTAATTTGGTGTAGTCAGTCAAATTTGCTGATATACTTCATCTATACTGGTAGTTGTGCTAAACTGAATGTTGGAATCCCAGGTAAGTGTGAGGCCTACATAGTAAAGTAAGTAAACTTGGAGCCATCTGATTTCATACTTTTTAGTTTCATACAGGCTTTTTTTATGTTGAGTCACAGGGTACTTGGATTTTGCCTGTTATGAGCCATAAACGGTGTAAAAGTAATGTTCCATGCATTCTAGAGGAGTGATTTAATTGCCCAAAAGAGTATCAGGGTGGGGGGGTGCAAGGTATCAGCTCATTTCTGAGTTGATGATGTTTTCCCTACGTTCTCAGGGTTATCCTGTGACCAGAGGGGATAGACCTGCCAAATGCATGGTGTCTGTGTCAGCTGATGGCTTGGGAATTGCCAAGTAAACTAATGTATAAAAACAAAATCAGTAGATGAGCCCCTACAACACAAGGGCCTGTCTCCACATTTCATTTTGCTCTTATCCAGGCAACTGGATTATTTTTACTTCAATACTTTGTCTTGGTGCAGTCAAGGCTTTGTCTTTGGAGTAGTTATTTTGGCTATGAAATGTTTTCCAAATTAACTACCTTGACTGTAGGGGTTTTCAATTTTATATTGAGGTGAAATTTACATAACATACAGTTAACCATTTTAAAGCGTAGTACAGTTCAGTGGTATTTAGTCATTCACGATATTGTGCAACCACCATCTCATCTTTCAGAACTCATCACTTCAGATCACCCCATATCTTTTAACTCCCGATTCTTCCCTCCTGCAAGTCCCTAGCAACGATTAATCTGCTTTTTGTCTCCATGAAAATATTCTGAATATCTTATATAAAAGGAATCATACAACATGGGAACTTTCGTGTAGCTTCTTTCTCTAAGCATGTCTTCAAGATTCATCCATGTCATAGCATGTTTTAGTATTTCATCCCTGAGTAATACTCTCTTGTGGAAATATACCTCACTTTGTTTGTTCATCTGTTGATAGACGTTTGGGTTGTTCCTACTTTTTAGTTCTTATAAATAATGCAGTTATAAACATTTGTGTATAGGTTTCTAAGTGGACATATGTTTTCATTTCTTTGGATATATACTTGGGAGTGAAATGGCATATTCTAGATAGTAAATCCTTAGCAGATATGATTTGCAGATATTTTATCCCATTCTGTGGGTTGTCTTTTCACTTTCTTAATAATGTCTTTTGATGCACAAAGTTTTTAATTTTGATAAAGTCCAGTTTACCTTTTTTTTTCTTTTGATGCTTGTGCTTTTGGAGTTAAAACATAAGAATCCATTGCCAAATCTGAGGTTGTGAAGATTTACCCATGTTTTCTTCTAAGTGCTTTATACTTCATTTCAGCTCTTATATTTAGGTCACTGACCATTTTGAGTTAATTTTTGTAGATGGTATAAGGTAAGGATCCAGCTTCATTCTTTTGTATGTGGATATCCACTTATCCCAGTACCATTTGTTGAAAAGACTATCCTTTTCCCCATTGTTGACAACCCTGTCAACATCAATGGTCTTATACAGTGATGAAGTGTTGCTGTGGAAAGTGCCTCAAAGAAAGACTCAACCTAGGAGGACTTGAATATGCACTGAAATCATTACACACCTTTCTCAGGCTGGTAGTTTTGCTTGTGGCTATATGGTTGGCATATTTTTCATTGAATGCCTGTGCTTTTCTGAAAATTTTCCTCATCCTCATTGTAAGCTTGTCTCTGACTAGATTTCTCTTTAATATCCTTATGCCAGGACTGTACCGTTAAAGATTATGTAGTACCAAAGAGCAACTGTTGGAGCTCTCAGGAATAGCTTTTGAATTCTTCCTGAGACTTGTCAGAGTTTTGTCAGTTTTTTTTGAAAGGGGTAAGGGGTAAGGCATGGGATTCTTAAATTGCTATTTTGAGTTTTAATAGATCTGTTTTAGAGGACTTTACAGATCCACACAATATTAGTGATCTGTGTCATGGTAACTTAAAACACGAAATATGAGAAAAGCTGTGATTTGTTAAGACATTACTGTTTACCAGAATGTACTACGGTTAAGTTATATGTATTAATTTAGTTATCACATGAAACTATGAGGTGTTAGTGCTGTTACTGTTACCATTATACCAAAAGGGAAATAGGCTCAGAGGAGGTAGAATAATTTATCAAAGGTACATAATAACTAAGTAACAGAGCTAGGATTAATATCAGTTATTCTGAATTTGTACTTTCTCCTCCATGCTACATTGCCTCTCAAACAGCTGATAATGCTTGGTGACTCTAAGCCAAAAAAAATATTTTTAATTGTTGGATTAAAATAGAACCTTTCGTCATTGCTCAAAGGGCTTTATCTTATTCATCTTCATAATGAAGTAGTTAGGAGCTAGCTGTCACCGTATTTTATAGATGATGCAGTTAAGAAAGTATGCAAGAACCACTCACAGCTGGGCAACAGGCAGCTCTGGCTCAAGAAGTCAAGGTTATCCAGTCAGAGGATAATTTACTGTTGTCCTTAAAGGAAGAGTAGGCAAATTACTATTACATTCCTTTTTGTAATAGTACCAGGAATTTTTGGCATAGTAAAAACGTGGTTACTGTATGTCAGTCTAAGAACCCTGATAGAGTGATAATACTCAGTGAAAGATTTCCCTTGTTTTAAATGCCACTCTTCAGAAAAAAAGGCAGACAATCTGCTGATAGTTGACTATTGGGTCCTTTGTAAAATACAGATGTAGCACCTCGTTGTCACTCAGACTCCTCAGTCTTTGGTGTGAGCTTCCAGAGAAAAGACACATACCTCATTTCCTTAGGATAAACTGTCTGAAGTGGTAGGAAATCCTTTTGTAATAAGGGTTCTGTAATTTGAGAGTAGAGAAATGATACAAACAATCCAGTGTCTTAAAAACTTGTATGTTTAATTCGTGTTCTTAAGCATTACAGCCTTTAAATTACATTTTTTCCTCTTTTCTTTTCTTTGCCTTTTTTAGCTATAGAGCTTATGTATGGAGGTATCTATTGCTTTTTGTGTCAAGACTACATATATGATAAAGACATGGAAATCATTGCCAAAGAGGAACAACGGAAAGCTTGGAAAATGCAAGGTTTGGTTTTGCCTAGATTTACGTGCCTGATTTGTTTTAGTCCTATATTCCCTCAGGTCTGTCAAGGGCAGAACTCACCAAAAGAAAGATCATTATCTAAGGAGAGAGTCAGTGTAGGGAGATAAGGGAAGGTAGGAGAGCAGTAATTTGGTGGGAAGAGCAGAGCCCGCACACACACTTGCTTGCTTGCTCCTTCCTGTAGGCTCACCTTGGAGACAGCCTAGGATTGGAACCAGCCGATGAAGGGACTGGCTTTGCAAGTACAAATGCCCATTGCTTCCCACAGTTTCCCAGAGCCATCCTCAGCCCCAGGTCCCCCATGGGCCTGCGGCTGCTATGAAGAGCTCTGTTGGGGTTGAGAAAGAATGTCCACGAACACTTAGTTCTCCCATGTAAGGGCATATTCATAGCTACAGCACCAGCAAAGCCACATCCACATCTGGTCTCTGAAGAATAGTTTGCTCTCAGCTCTCCAGTATTCCAGAAAGCAGTCTCTTCTCAGTAATACTAAAACCGCATGGGAAAAAAAAAATGTATGTACCTGGTTTCTTCCAGGAGGGCAGATTATTTTCTGATTAAATTATGGTAGAATCTCTTTTAAAACTCTTAACTGTTTGGGTTATGTTTAATCTCTGTCAACAGAGAATTAAAATTGCCAGATGGAAAATGTGATCTACCACTTAAGCATACTAGTTTAGGATTTTCCTTTCCTGTGGAGTGCCTCAGTGGTCATGGTACCATTGTGGGTTTCTCATTTGCTGTGATGTCTGTCTGCACACTTGCTGCCTTCATTGGGTACATAGTCAAGGAATATACACAAACATTGTGCAGCCATTTTTTCATTGTTCATTTATTTCTTTTTGGCTTCCCTAATTTTTTTTTCCTTTTGTTAGTTTTCATTTCCAGCATGTGCTCATGCTGTCATGACAGTGAGAGGTGTAGTTTCTCTCATTTGTCTGGTGAGCATCTCTCAGCTAGCAGAACCGTTACTGTTTACAAAGAGAACATATAACCCAGCATCTCTTTAACAAATTTTTGCCTTAATTACTCTTTTAAAAATACCGCCCCTCTCCTTTTTTTTTTAAATAGATGCTCTCAGTGACCAGAATTATTTGTGTTTAACAAATCTTTCCTGGAAAACAACCACTTTAACTTCAACTTCAATTCTTTCCCCACTCCAAAATTTAGTAATACTGCCATTGAGTCTGAGTATATTGAGTCTGAGTATATTGCAGAACACTTAAACCACAGGACTAAGAAGTGCATGTGCCAGAGTAAAACAAATTCTTCTAAAATCATTCTGCAATTCCATCTGTCAGTGAGATATTATTCTTTATTGAATTAGGCAAAAATTTTAGGTAGCATTGAACAGGTGCCTCAAAGTGAATAGAGTGTGTATTAGGATGAAATATGGGACTTATTAGCATTTATAGCATTATTGTCTTTGGTTAAATCTTTAATGGGTATAGCTGTTCAACAAGATGTATTTTTCAAAATATATTTCAAAAAACATTTTTTCTGTCGGTCAGTTTTACTCATTCACCAGAGAATCCTTCAGCTAAGTTGCAAAGTACTTCCCATTGATGCTGAATGTTGTGTAAGCCTGTTCTTGGGAGTCTCTGGTGGTTTGAAGATTAAAGGCTTTGAAAAAACAGCAATCTTGGCATTAGTGTTAGGGTAGCTTTAATTGGAGTTATTGCTTTCCTTTTTGCAAAAAACAAAGCTTATTCATAGCACATTCTCTCTAAAGGAAACTCCTCTAAGTGTTCTGTTTTGCCTGCTGCAGCATAGTAGAGTTTTAGAAACACCTTTTATTATAGCAGTTCCTCTGTGAAATTAAACCTGATAAATAGTATATCACTACCACTTTATTTATAAACACACTTGATGAAAATTTAGCTAACAGCACCTGGAATTGTTCATCTCCTTAGGCGTTGGAGAGAAATTTTCAACTTGGGAACCAACCAAACGGGAGCTTGAACTGCTGAAACACAACCCAAAAAGGCGAAAGATCACCTCTAACTGCACCATAGGTAAGTGGATGACAGTGCTTGGAGTGGTGGTCTGTTTTCACTTCTAGTTAGGCTTCCTTTTCAAAGTTTAAAATTAATAGGTGTAAAAATGTAGGTTGCATAACATAATAGTCTAAATCTGAATAACAGTCATTCATCCATTTGTTCAGCCACTTCTTGAGCACATGTTCACTGCAGGGACAAGTGGTAGGCTTGGGGTAAAGAGATGGATGGAAATGGTCCTGATGTCCTGTGGGGCACAGTGACACAATCTCACTGGTCACCTGAGCCAGGTACATGGGTGTGTCCCTTGTGTGAGTTGTATGTGCCCACTTGTGTAAAAAGGCTCAAATTTATTCTCACCAGGTTGAGGTTGCGTGCAGTAATTTTCAGGGAGAGAAATGTATGTGTGAGCCTGTTCTCTAGGTTTCCTAAGACTTAAAGAAATACATTTTGAAAACTACTTTTTTACTTCTAATATTTTTTTTATTTTTCAATTACAGGTGATATAAAATATTATATTAGTTTCAGGGGTACAACATAGTGATGATTTATTTATATAACTTCAAAAGCGATCACCCCAATAACTCTAGTACCCTTCTAACACCATACATAGTTATTACAAAATCATTGACTAACTATATTCCTTATGCTATACTTTATATCCCATGACTATTTTATAACTACTAATTTGTACTTCTTAATCCCTTCACTTTTGTCACCCATTTCCCCACCTTCCCTCCCATCTGGCAATCATCAGTTTGTTCTCTGTATCTATGAGTTTGTTTCTGTTTTGTTTGTTCATTTATTTTGGTCTTTAGATTCCACATGTAAATGAAATCATACAGCACTTGTCTTTCTCTTTCTGTCTTACTCCACTCAGCACAGTACCTTCTAGGTCTATCCTTGTTGCAGATGGCAAGATTTCATTCTTTTTTATGGCTGAGTAATATTCCATTGTATATGTATATTTATATACTACCTCTTTATCCATTCATCCATTGATGGACACTCAAAATGTCTCCATATCTTGGCTATTGTAAATAACGCTTCATGAACATATGGATGCACATCCTTTGAAGTAGTGTTTTGGCTTTATTTGGATAAATACCCAGAAGTGAGATTACCAGTCTGTCTCTGTCTCATGTTATAGTCTTTATTTTAAAGTCTATTTGGTCTGGTATAAGTGTCGCCACCCCAACTTTTTTGTTTCCATTTTCATGAAGTATCTTTTTCCATCACTTTACTTTCAGTCTGTTTGTGTATTTTGGTCTGAAATGAGTCTCTTATAGGCAGCATATATAAGGGTCTTCTTTTTCTTATCCATTCAGCCACTCTGTCTTTTTTTAATTCACCCTGTCTTTTGATTGGTCATTTAATCCACTTATGTTTTAAAAGTAATTGTTGATAGATATGTAGTTGTTGCCATTTTATTATCATATTTTTGATCTTTTTTCCTTCTTCAAGAAGTCCCTCTTAATATTTCTCGTAATACTGGTTTGAGGTGAACTCCTTCAGCTTTTTCTTGTCTGGGAAGCTCTTTCTCTGTCCTTTGATTCTAAATTATGGCTTTATTGGGTAGAGTAATCTTGGTTGTAGGTCCTTGCTTTTTATCCTTTGAATATTTCATGCCAGTCCCTTTTGGCCTGCAAGGTTTCTGTTGAGAAATTATCTGATAGTCTTATGGGAGCTCTCTTGTAGGTACCTAACTGCTTTTCTATTGCTGCTTTTAAGGTTCTCTGTCTTTAACCTTTAATGTTTTAGTTATGATGTGCTTTTGTGTGGACCTCTTTAGGTTCATCTTGTTTGAGACTTTGTGCTTCCTGGACTTGTTATATCTTATTTCCTTCATCAGGTTGTGCAAGTTTTCCATCATTTTTTCAGATAGGTTTTCACTTCTTTGTTCTCTCTTCTCCTTCTGGGACCCCTCTGATGTGAATGTTAGTATGCTTGAAGTTGTCCCAGAGGCCCCTTAAACTATCCTCATTTTTTTTTCTCTTGTTGCTCTTCTAATTGGGTGTTTTCTGCTACCTTCTCTTCCAAATCTCTAATTTGATCATCTGCTTCTAATCTACTGATTCTCTCTAATATATTCTTCATTTCAACTGTTGTTTTATTCTTTTCTGACTAGGTCTTTTCTTACATTTCCTATCTACATTTTTATGTTTCCTATTTTTTTGTTGAAGTTCTCATTGAGATCATTGAGCATCCTAATAACCAACATCTGATAGATTGCTTGTCTCCAGTTTTTTTAGTTCTTTTTCTGGAGTTCTGTTCTTTCATTTGAGACATGTTCCTTTGTCTTCCCAATTTGGCTCCTTCCCTGTTTTTGTTTCTATGTATTAGATAGGTCTGCCGTGCCTCCCTGTCTTAGTACAGGGTAGCCTTATGTAGTAGATGTCCTATGGAGCTCAGTGGTACAATCTTATTGGTCACCTGCACTGGGTGCATAGATGTGTCCCTTGTGTGAGTTATGTGTGCCCTTCTTTTGTGGTTGTTGGGAGGGATTGACCCTTAATTTGGTTGCTGTTTGCATGTCAGTGGAAGGGATTGACCCTCAGGCTTATTGGCAATGAGGACTGGCTGTGACTACAATGGAGGAGCTGTTATGCAGGGCCTGACCCCAAGAAACAAGATTAGCTTTAGCAGGGCTCTGATGCCTGCTGAGTTTGCCCTTTGAATGTGTTGATTGTGGAGGTGGTTGTATGTTGCTCTGATGTGGTCTGAAGTGGCCACTAGATGCGTTGGTTCTGGGGCCTCTTGGGAGGGGCTCTGTTGCCGATCAAGGTCAGCCGCTGCCTGTGCTCTGCTCTTGTGTGAGCTACAAAGTGATCTGCATATGGTTGCCACTTGTACAGGGCTTGGAGGTGCCTGGGAGAGGCTAAGCTGCAGACAGCTGCTCCTAGTGCCTGGCTCTTGGGGCTACTTAGCAAGAGGTATGGGGTATGTTGAGGACACATGCTGCTTGTTTGGGTTTCTAATCTTTAGAGATTTTAGGAAAGTGCAGCATGAACCAAACATGCTGATTGTATGTAAAAGCCATTGGGCCTGCAAGTTGGATGGGTCGGAGTCTAAAAATCACCAGAGAGGAGAGAACGATGTTAGCCAGGTCAATGGAGACTCAAATATGGCACCTGCCTGAGTATACACTGGGAATGGGGAGGGCTCAACAAAGGAACAATGGCTTTTGCCAGCACTTACGTCTGGGAGAAAGCTGCCCTTCCATCTCTTGGCCCAAAGCCAGATAATTCAGTTACTTCCTGTATGTCCCTGGCTCCTTTCAAGTTGCTGCCACAGTGCTGGAGCTCAGAGTGAGTGAGTCCTGCAGCAAGTAAGTTCATGCACAGGCCCTTTAAGAAGAACACCTGTGACTGCTGCTACCCTCCATCTCACTTAGCTAAGATCTCTGTTGGTCTCAAAAGTTGTGGGGACTTCTCTTCCCGGCACTGGAAACCTGGGCTGGGGAGTCTGGTGTGCTGCTAGGACCCCTCGCCCCTCCAGGACGATCTCTGCAGCCAAGATATCTGTTCTGATTTTTAACTTCCACACGTGGGTGTGGAGTCTGTCCCTCCTACCAGTCTTCCTACCAGTTTTAAGGTGGCTTCTTCTCTATGTCCTTAGTTATAGGACTTCACTTAGTCTTCAGGCGATTCTCAATGATGATGGTTCTGTAGTTTAGTTGTAATTTTAATGTGGTCGTGAGAGGGCGCAAGCACAGCGTTTTCTCCTCCATCATTTTGACTGGTTGTCCTTAAAAAACTTCTTAAAGTTATTTTTGTTTGTGTGTTAGAGAGGCTGCATTCTGATCTGTCCTGTTGCCTGTTGTTAAGGAATATCTTTGAGTATTTTTATGAAAACATATGGCTAAAGTGGGGGAGCTAGAGAAGGGGTGATGATTCCTTAGTATAGTGTATATAAATAGAAAAATAATTATATTTTTTCTTGCTCTTGAATGAATGAATAAAAGGAAATGGACACATAAATGTAAAGGAACCACTGTGATACCACTGGGGTTCAGTAGTAACTGTAGGTCAGTGCCCAGGTCACCCCTGCTCTCGTCTTCCTCCTTCCCAGGTCTGCGAGGGCTGATTAACCTTGGAAACACGTGCTTCATGAACTGCATTGTCCAGGCGCTCACCCACACACCACTCCTGCGAGATTTCTTCCTCTCTGACAGGCACAGGTGTGAAATGCAGAGCCCTAGCTCCTGCCTGGTGTGTGAGATGTCATCCCTTTTTCAGGAGGTATGTGCTGTTGACTTTTCCAATGTAACATTTCTGTAACTACTTTTTTTCCCCTTTTTAAAAATATAAAATAAGGTTGACTGTAATATAATAAAGGAAGGCAAATTTCTAAAACCTTATGTAATGAATATTTACTGTGTGCATTATTATGGAAGGCACATATTTTTTCCAAAAGGAATCATTAGCTAGGAGACTATTGGCATTATTTTTCAAGGCATTGACTTAGAGGATGAGAAAGCACACATAGAAAGTGGCGTAAGTGGTGGATGATGTTTGTGAATACTGTGGGAGTTCACCCTTCCTTTTTGTCTGCCATCCGGACTCAGTAAGGCATGTGGATGTACAAGCACCACTTCCTGCTTTGTTCTCAGAGGAACATGGATTTTTCTCTTCTGTTGCTGGACCTTCTGAGTATGCTTCACCAGGTCTATCTTTGTGACCCTCTGGTCCTGAACATCAAGTTCTGCTTCCCTGGTTGGATTGTAAGCTACACTCATGTGTCTGTCCTGTTCATGTCTGTTCATAACCACCATTGACAGCATGACAGAGCTCAGACATCTTTGGGCTGGACCATCTGCACTCAGCTTGGTGACCTGAGAAAACCCTCTCAGAGCTGAAGCAGCATAGCTACCCCTACTACAGAGTGGGCCTGCTGCCTGCCCCATAGGTTGCTAAGAGGTCCTAGGTATACTTCAAGTGTCTAGCACAGACCGGTACCAGCAGACTCAGCCTGGTCTGTTTTGTTGATAACTTTTGATAGCAATACAGCCACTCTCGCTCACCCACATATCAGGCACTGGCTGCTTTTGCATTGTAGCGTAGGAGGTGAGGACTAGTTGAGTGATTGTAATAGAAACCACCTGGACTGCAAAGTTGGAATTATTTACCAGCTGGTTCTTTTCAGAAAAAGTTTGCCAACCTCTGATCTAGCCTGACCTATTTCTTTCATACCCACAGCATACCGGTAACTGCTGGGGTCACAGCAGTGAGCAAACTGAATAAAATAGAAAGTCAGGTACAATTGAAAAACATGTCATAGTTCATCACCTAGGCTTATCGTAGAAAACTAGATGGGAAGGGAGAAAACAATATGCAGATTTAGAAAGTCCAATGAGTCCAAATTCTAGGCAGCTGTTAAATATTTTTTATTTTCTATGCTTTATATTCAGGGTGTAGCATTTATTCCTGACAAGTGATTTTGTTTCCCTTCTTTCTCTGAGCAGTTTTACTCCGGGCACCGGTCTCCCCACATCCCGTACAAGTTGCTGCACTTGGTATGGACTCATGCCCGGCATTTGGCAGGGTACGAGCAGCAGGATGCCCATGAGTTCCTCATCGCGGCCCTGGATGTCTTGCACCGGCATTGTAAAGGTGCGGGCCTGCTCCCTCAGGCCACTGTGCAAGGGAAGGGGGAGGCCAAGTGTGTGCCCTCCTGCAAAATGGGGTACAGCTGACTGTTCTATTCGATTTGTGTTATAATCATTTTTTTTCCCAATAAGGAAAACACTATAATTATCTTAAAGAGGTTCTTCATAGTTTGTTTTTATGAGAAGAGGAAATAGTTTTCGTTGTTGTCTTCTGACCTTTCTGGGATTAGAGCAGCATAGCAGTTGGTCTTCTACAGCCTGTAACAGTGAACAGTGAGCTCTTTGTCATTGCCCTGCCTTTTCCTTGAGTCCTCTGCTGCTGTGTTCCTGTTGGCCTGATGTGTCAGGACCTCACCTGTAGCTCCTCTGGCTTATCAAGGCTGTGTCAGCCCAGAAGGTTCTGAATGTGCTCTTAACACAGTTTAACCATCAAACCATCTCCCTCCCCTTATAGAATCTATAAAAAGACTATCATTGCTCTAAAGTAGCCAGAGAGAGCTGGGAATACAAAACTAAACCTGCACACTTGCCAGTACTTCCCTGACCCTAAGTCAGGTTCATTTTCCAACCACAAGGGCGTTTTGTTTTCAAATCTTTCTTAAGATCTCATTGGGACTTGGCTTCCTCCATAATATAGGGTTCTCAGATATGTGTGGGTTTGGATACTCTAGGGGAAGGGCAGGGGGCAGCAGCTCCTAGGGCCGAAGGCAGGAGATTAGGACTGAATGATAAACCCACACAGTGTGTTCCTCCCCCCTGCCCTTCCCTATGTGGGGCTCCCAGTTTGAAGGCCCTATGCTGAAATACTGGCACAGGTATCAGCTGAGGAGTGTGTGGCTCCTAGTCACCTGGAGGACTCCTCAAAGTACATGGTTGGCCTTTCTGTTTAGTGGGTCTGGAGTAAAGTCAGAGGATTTTTTTGTTCCTAATGAGTTCGTAAATGATGCTGCTGTTTCAGATAGTACATACTCAAATGAAATGTGCAGAGGTAACAAGTTACCTGGTTATCTATGGCCCATAGGCTGGTACAGCTATTTTAGGTGATATCCTACTGGCCAGTTTTCTCTTACATTGGTGTCCTTAAAGAACAAAGCCCTGTTTTGTTAGGTCACTTTGTTGAATGGCCTTCATGCTGCTACATCTCATTCTCTTAGGTCATTGAGCTGCTCTCACAAACGCCCTGTAGAGTCTGAGGTTACAACTCAGAGACAAGCCAAACTTGAAATAAGACAGCTTGTTTTGATCAACTGTCATGGCTTTGGGTTTCAGCTTTTTTTGTACTTAAATTATTTTTCTCCTGAAAACATACACAATTGTTTTAATACTTGCCGTAGGAGTCAAATAAAAGTTGCTTAATAGCTTAGGTAAGGTTTGATTTCCTAGTATAAAGTATAATAGAAAAGCCACGTGAA